TTAAGGACCAGTCACTGCCCTACCAGCTGGAGGCATCAGCAAATGAGAACAGGGGAACACACTCACCTTTCTAGATCTTTCAGTGTTGTTGAAAGTAAATGATATACAGAGAAAAAGAGAATTATAAATTTATAATTTATATCCACCTAGTCCCACTGTGCTCGGGAGGAGACAGCTCCAGGGACAACTCTAGAGCTCACCCACCCTCGCTCCTGTAACTGGAGTGATGGGTATTTCTGTGAGTGGTGGGGAAAGCGAGCCAGGGGCAGCACTTGCTCCCTCTGTGCTGATCAAAGGCCATGTTCTCCTTGGATTCATTTCTATATGCAGATAGAATTATGTTTAACCACGGTTTCTAGATCATTCTGGCTCTGCTGGTGCAGAAACGCTCTTTTGTTTACAGAAAAAGAGGCTGCAGTTACTATCCCTTTTCTAGTTCCCAACTCTAATCACCTCTAGGGCCTCCCCAACTCACCTCCATGTCCCACCACGTGTCCTGGTGGTCATAGGGGAGCCCGTCAGCTCGCCCTGCTCTGCCATCTTGAAACTGGCTTCTCCACATCCCAAGCAATTTTATCCAAAGCAGGACGTCTGCAGCTCCCTCCTTCGCCCCAGACAAAAATGAGTCTAAAGTGTACATTTAATAAAAAATAGCTATTCACCGTGCAGAATCTGGGTGTATGTCTGTCTGCTGTTTTCGTCATTGAAGTTTTAGGGAAAATTCTAAGACTCGCATCGTACGCTCTGTTGCATTATAGCCTTCCCAAGCCAGTGCTGAAGCAAAGAGCCGCACGTACCCCCAAGGAGAAAGGAAATACCCTACAATGCGGGCGACGGATGCTCTGGACAGCCGTGGTCATTTTCCTCAAAATGGACACCTTCGTTTATTCCCGCCTTTGCACCAGGTTCGTGCTGTCGATGAGGCAAAGAAAACACGTCTGCTCTCCAGGGCAGCTAATTGCTGAGAAGCCTGCGGGGTGAGGTCGGGGAGAGCCTGGCGCCCGGTGCCCACTTGCCTCCCAGGGCAGAGAGCAGGCGGAAGGCCCATGAGAGAGGACACGTGTTGTGATGGACACAACGAGAAACTGAGGCGTGTCCCCCGCTCTCAAATGTCGGGGGTTTGTTCCTATCGTCCATTGATGGCAATCCGTGGCAGCGTTTACACCTGACGCGGGGAACCCGGTGAGAAGTAAGACAACCGCCTTGGCACAGGGGCCCCTCCGCTGAGCAGGTGGCTTGGCGCTCACCCACGTGGGGTGTCTGCGTACCTGTCCTCTCCCCGCCGGGGATGTTCTGCCTCCTACCTGTGCCGCAGTGGTCGCTCCTCCGCTGCTCCCGCGCCGCTGCCCGCCGTCCCGTCTACCTCTCTGGCCGCCGCCCCCGCGACGACGCTGGTTAGCCAAGGTGGGCACGTGCTCCGTCCTGACCTGTGCTCAGGGCTCGCCAGGTGGCCAGACGCTGACCGGGTGCCGTGTGATGCACATGTGTGAGCGGGGCTGCGCGTGATCATGCTGAATCACTGATCGTCTGTGTTAACTTTTCCCAGTGAAACACGATTTGGTTTACCAACGAGATCTGACATTTTCTCCTCCACACTTCAAACATTCCTGTTTTATTTCTATTGTCACCACGCTTGTGCTTTGTTTTGCTTTATTTTGCTGTATTTTCTAGGTTTGTTTTTTTTTTTAAGTGAGCATTAATCCATTCCTCTTCCTCTTTTGTGTTTGAGACTCTTGGCGGCCATGCGTTTTCCTCCCATCACTTCTTTCAATGAACCCCGGCGCTGCCGGTGTCCTGACATTAGAGTATCTGAGACATTATTGACATTCGAATACACCGAGACGCTGACATTCAGCACGACGGGCGGTCATGTTGTTATCATGATCTTAAGAACTTGCACCTCAGTTTTCCTGTTTCCTTCCAAGAAGAGGGGTTTCATAGAGGGCAGTATAATTTGCGGATGGAAAGACTTTTTACACAAAAGCAGTTCTTCTACTTAAGGGTCTCGCGGAAGGTGGCGTCGTTATTAATACACGATCAGCTCGAGTCACTGACTCGAGTGTGTCTGCAAAAGGGTGTCTTGTCTGTTATTATTGCCCAGCGCGGTCCCCGGCCTGTCCCCAGACCCTTGACACAAGAACTGCACAGGGCGGCATCCTGTGTCGATGGCCGTCCTCCGAGGACCTCCTCCGACCGTGACTCACAGCCAGGGAGTGCCTGAACCCAACCCGGTTATCTAGTAAATCCCTGCCGCCCAGTGAGCACACATTGCCCGTACAGCTGTTTTGTCCTTCTGCGCTTCTCTCTCTCCTTTCCCCGAGAGAGGGCGAGGGGAGGTCACCAGTCCCGCGCAGGCAGTGATGCCTGCCGTCTCTTCAGTCTGCACCTCCCCTGTGCAGAGGGTTAGTGCCTGGACGCTGAAAGCTGGGTGGGCCTGGACATGCCCGTTGGAAAGGTGACAGAAGTACACAATCCCTCTAGAGGACTTACCGGGCACACACGGAGATGTGTTTTCATGAAATGCTGTTGTTGTTTTCATTCGAGCCTGGGTTTCAAGTCGCCCCAGTGTCCGGGGACACACTAGCACCGATCGACACCATCGGGGAGGTTCGTTAATACAGAGATTCTGGTTTGGTGGGAGAAGGGTGGAGCCAGAGGGTCTGCACTGCTAGCGAGTTCCCAGGAGGGGCTGATGCGGCAGGGCCAGGGCCACACTAGAGAGGGACGTTGCAGGCAAATACCCCGTGCGTGGACTGGAAGGAAGGAGATTATGTCATCACGGTGAAGGGCAGCCAGGGCCCGCCATGTTGGGAAGGCTGGGCTCTAGCAACTTAGTGCATTCAACCTTGTACCCCAACAGTTTCAGGGTGCCCCGTCACACCCCACCCCACAGTTCTAGGGATCCATTGACTCAGGTGACTCTGCAGCGCTCAATTAAACCATCTTGTTAGTTTATGACCCTGAACAAGTTTCTCTTTAATCTCAGACTGTTACACTCTGCCCTTGCAGCACTTCATCTTTACTTGAATCTTAAACCATCTTTTCAACCTCCCGGCTATCTTCACAGTCCACAGTGTGCCTTGTGGTTGGAGAAGGGAAATTGAAGACCAGAAACCACCTAGATGGCATCAGCGAAATGGACCCAAAGTCCACAGAACCCCAGGTATCCCAAAAGCTGCCTCCACGAGAGAGCCTCTTTGCTAAAGGAGGTCTCCCTGCAGCTCCTCCTCTTGCTCTGTTGCCCACAATAGACCTTGGCACCCTATTCTCTGGATGTGCATCTCAAGCACTCACTCCATTTGTGTCTGGGTCCACGGGAACCTGACTGGCCGCTGTGCTGTCTGTGCGTGCACGCCTTAGCTCACAGCACCTGGCTCCCAGTAGAGACGCAGTGGGCCACGGCTGCTCACGCGGGCTAACTCACTCATGTTGCTGAGTCTTGGCTGAGGGACTAGACGTCCCTCCTGTGTCTAGAGGGGATGAGACTGAGCCAGTAAAAATGCATTTCACCAGACTGAACCAGGGCTGCAAAGACACTTGTCACCTCCAGCACTCTGAAGGGGAATGTACACACAGAGCTGAGTCAAATGAGGCCAATCACACATGATACCACGAGTCTGGGGTCTCCCGGTGAAGATGCGGTTGGAAACCATGTCAGGGGCCCGAGGCCACAGGTAGTGTCTTCTTGCTTCTCCCTGAAAAAGAGACTGATTTGCACATAATGTGGTCATCCGACAGCCAAGGGGCCTGAGAGCTGAAACCTGAAGAGTAAGACTGAGCTGGACCCACCACAGAGGACTCCCTGGTCTGCCTGTACCTTGAAACAAGGAGCCAAAGGTGCGGGTCGCGTGTGGTCCCAACAGGTCCCAAGGGGAGAGGACATTCTCTTCGGTGTGTTTCCAGTTTTCGAAAAGAAAAAATCCCAGCAGGACGGAGTGTGATGGATGTCAGGCTCCCCTAATGTGCTAAAATCCTGAGGCAGACCAACCCCTTGTGTTTGGTGAGAAAGAGATGCTCTATAAGGGTCACCCCAGAGATTCTCCCTGCTGGACATGGGGGGAAACACCTCCATTTGTGAATCAGCGGGAAGACGGTCAGTGTGGTGAACAGCTGCCCAGGGCGGCCCGGGGAACTCCTCCCTGTGACTCTCCAAACCGCTGGCGCAGAGGCCAGATGCTACTAAATGTTCCGCAAACGTTGTTGGGGTTCAAGTCTACTTATAATGCGTAAAATGGGCAGGGTGCGGTGGAAGAGAACTGGGAGAGTAAAGGGAAACCTGAGGAAGTGACTCGGAAAGTTCCCAAACAAGCAAAAGGATCAGGGGCCCTCTGCTTCCAGATGCGTTTTGCAATGTCTCCAAGGACTAGAGTGCACAGGAATTTAGGGAGCACATCCCACGTGCCAGAAGCATGGTCCACCTCACCGACAGGGAAGAGGTCACGGCCCCCCACTGCTGGGGGGGTATTAGTCCCATCTCTATTTGCTAACCCGAAGTAACAGGTATTTCGCTCTCCTTGGGCGGTACTCCCTGGGGAGGGATGCGTGTTTGTGGCGTAAGGGGCACTGTCTCTGCGCTGGCACCACCGAGGTGCTCCGCAAGGCAGGGAGGGGAGGCGTTGCATAACCACCTGTCTGGCTCCGTGATGGGAAGAAGCAAAGTTCCATCTAAATACAAATCGGAGTGGGCGAGGGATCCTGAGGTCTGGTATTTTCTAGCTTCCTGCATTCTTTCGTGAGGAACTGAAGCTGCTCAGCGCTTACTTGTTGATCATTTTGTTTACAACACCGTGGGCTTCTCTGCTTCGAGTCATCAGAATAAGAAGTTCAAGGAACCCTGAAAGCACGAGTTTGTTCCCCCAGTGCTGCAAGAGGGGCATCAGGTGGGGCTGTGCATGGCTGCCTGTGGAGCAGAGGCCTCAGGGGCAGCACCCCGTGGGCAGGGCGGGGGCACCAGGTGGGGCTCTGCGGTGGAGGTGGACTCCCTGACACCGCGGCTTTTGTCTGCCCCCCCAGCTCATCCCAGGCCTTGGACACCGAGACCCCAGAGGGTCACAGCTGAGACTGGTCTTACTGGGTAAGACTGGAGCAGGGAAAAGCGCCATGGGGAACAGCATCCTCGGGAGGAAGGCGTTTCATTCCAGCCTCGCTGCACAATCCGTCACCAAGTCCTGCCAGAGAGAGAGCAGCCCCTGGCACGGGGGAGAAGTGGTGGTGGTGGACACGCCTGGCATCTTCGATACGGAGAAACCCGATGCTGACACCAGCAAGGAGATTATGGGGAGCCGCGCTACTCATGTCGTCTGACAAAAGTCCGGGCATGGGGCAGATTTCTGAAAAATCAGGAATCTCGTTAGCTGACTCCAAGAGTCTCCTCATTTGTTTATGGCTAGTTTCTACCATTGCTAAAAATACGCACTTAAAAGTAAAACTGCAAACACTGATCAATCACTGAATAACCAATTTGATGGCAAATGGCACTGCATGATACAAATATTACATTTTTCATAAAATTAGTAGTCCCCTGCCAAAAAGGCAGCAATGCAACATTTGGCTTTACATTAACCAGTGAAAAAACTTCTGGAACCAAAAGGTTGTAAACTTCTATCAGCCAAGTCTTTGATATAGAGATGTGGTGTCTTGAGGCAAGAGCTAATTGGAGAAAGAAATTCCTTTACTTTAAAGTTAAAGATAACAGTTGGGTGGCAGAGGCGAGCCATGCTCCAAGTATAAGAAGATTCCTGATAAACCAGGAGACGCCATAGCTGACTACTGCTAAATTCTTCCTGTTTGTTTAGGGCTAATTCCCCTGGATGTGACAATTGGGATGGTAGCTGTTAGAGTGTGCATTCAAGAATAAGTCAACAGCAATTTGTGACTGGTTGAGCTAGTAATCACGGCAGCACAAATAACGCACTCGGAAATGGTCAATGTTACAACTACTGCTATGTCACATATGGACCATTTTTGAGAATCAAAGGCTATAACCATCTCCGCTCCTGCCCCTGATGAAATATTTGTAGTTCCTTAAAACAACAACCAGCAACCTTATGGAAGGAGAGATTGCCCCTTGATCTTATAGTTAAATACTGAAACTAGGCTGACTAGATAGTCGAGGAGTGATAGGTAGAAAACTCTTTGTTTAGATTAGGAGACTTCCTCCCTTCATTGAGAGCTGGGGCCTAGGGAAGAGTCAGTGCGGCTTGCCTGGCATGAACGCCCTCCAGGCCCTTGGCTCCTTAATATCAAATCAGTATTAAAACAATATACTATAGATGATGATTTCTATATAAAAGCCTTCTGTTTTTTTACTTGAATCAATTAGTTATAAGTTAGTCTAAACTTTATAGGTTAGTTAGAAATCATCTCTTTGTCTCCCTTCCCCCAGGTAACTCCCCGCCCTTTGTTTCCCTCAGCCCTTAGTTAATCCTTCACCATGGCAAACTTAGAAATGTTAGTTGCAGACACACAGGTTTTTTTGCTAGTGATACAATAACTGTTGGATTGTAAATAACGACTTTGAAAACATTTGTTTAGCAACTGTGCCTTCTTTAAGACAAAGAATAATAAATGTGACACCTCTGCCGGAAGGCAAACAGACCCTTGGCGGCTCCTGAAAAAGGACATGTGATGATTATTACCTTCCTACCTTATGCTTGTGCACTCACGATTTGCTTAGTATAAATAAAGGGCTGCTGAGCCCCTCAGCAGGATGATGTCAGCACCTGATCAAGTGTCTGCGTCTCTTCATTCCCCTTCCCCTTCCCTTACCATTTCTCTACAATTGCGCCGACGCCTTCCCATCCTTCAGGAACCCCTGACACCCAGACTGCTGCGGCTGGCTCGCAACAGGAGAATCAGAGAGGGACACTTGATGTGATCCTGGAAGCGCTGGAGATGACGTTTCTGGTTTTCTCACGTCTGTTCAAGGACGAGAAAGCGTGATGGAAATGTGTCTACTTTCTGGGAGACCGTGCCCCGTAGAATTCACTCCCCACAGTCACACACTCCCCGTTCCTCTGCTCGCAGCACCATGGGACACAGCCAAGCTCATGGTGGCAACTGGTAAATGTTTCACTGATTTGCAGGACACGCAAGTTCTCAGTTTGGGAAACTCGGAGCAGAAGGTATTGACGGTGCCGCCGTGCGATTTCTCCCTGAGACGCAGAGCAAAGGATGCAGGGACCAAAGGTGGTGACCCCGAGCTTTCTCTCCTTACCCCCAAACACACCTTTCTCCAGAGTCTTCTCACGGGGAGATGATCTTGCCAGGGTTTCTCCGCCCTTATTTGTACCTTCCAGACCCCGTCACCTCACCCATGTGGGTTATAGAAAGGTTAAGCATTTGCAGAGTCAGTTTTATGGCTGAGGACTGTATAGATCTCTCTCTGAATGAACGTAAACATGTTTAGTTACATTTTACAGGAGGACTCAATCATTTCTCACCTCCTTCCCATTGGAGAACAAAGCTCTGTCTGGAAATTAGATTTTTTAGTACTTGATTACATGAAATGCCATGAAAAGAGAAGGGCAGAGATGCAGCAGATGACAGAACAATCGTTGTAGATATATTTGCGGACACACTTCACCCACCGCAGCATCACCCACTTGCTGAGCACCCGGCTCTCTGCTCTCTTTGTAACCGCCCCCCCCCCCCCGCACCCCCTCTCAGGACCCCATAGCTGGCTTCTGGCTGACCTGGGTCCTCAGCTCAGGCCTGCCTACCTGGTGAGTCGCTGTTTATCACTATGATACTAAAGCTTTATTCTCCATATGGTGCACAGTTGCCGTCTGGTTTTCTTGGGAGTCGCCACGCTGCGTGTGAGAACACGGTGATGAGTTTCACGTGTGGTAAAATCTCTAGGGTGGTGTGGACTGGACCTGCCCTCGTCTCTCCAGCTCCTCTTCCCCGGAGGGTTTGAGCCGCTGTCACCTCCTCTGTCAGCAGGGACCCCACTCCCCTGGATTTCCACTCCTCACTGTGTTCTGATAGACATCATAGTTAACCAACATTCTGAGGATGCTGTGGTGTAACAAATCCTTTCAAATTTGGGGGACAGAACTGTAGCCCCTACTCCTTTCCTGTTCTCCTTCCCCTGGGTGCTCCTGGGGCTTCTCCAGCTCACCCCATGTCCCCCTACGTGCTCTGGTGGCCCCAGGAGACCCTGTCAGCTCTCCCTGCTCTGCCATCTTGAAACTGGCTTCTCTGGACCCCAAGCCAGGTTGCCCAAATAAGGCCACACCTCTTCTGTATTTCCCCAAAACCCAAGTGATGGAGAATAGACAACCCATTCTGGGGAAATTCCCAGTCATACACAGTTGGCATTTTTCACAATTTTTTTTTTTTAATATTAGAGGCTGATGTTTAAGTGTTTCTCAGTATTCTCTGAGGCAGTAGCCATCAGAGCCACCTGGGAATCTTATTAAACTACAAAGTTTCGATGCAGTGGACACGTGCAACAGGAGATTCTGCTACCAGAGCAGGTTCCCGACTGGCTTGCCACAGAACCAGCCCCTGCAGAGAGGCCTCCACAGAGAGAACCCCTGCGCTGGAAGGAAAAAAGTGGAAATGCCTTCGTAATGGCCGAGGCGAGTCCCCTGACCCTCGGGCTTCCAGCTGATGCAGGGCTACAAGGATGCTTTCCCCTGCTGGATCCTGACGGAAACTGCAGATAAAGAAACATCAAATAATGGGCCTCCCCGGTGGCGCAGCAGTTGAGCGCTGCGTTGTGAAGCTGCCCGCAGCCTCTGCAGCGCCAGTTCTATCCCTGGTCGTCGGTGAGGGTCCCACATGGCGCGCAGACCTCTCCTGCCGCCCGCTGCTCCCCTCAGCAGTGTCCTTCAGTCCTTCTGCCTGCTCTGCTCCCCGCTCTGGCTCTGGTGAATTCTCTCACCCTCCTGCGCTTCTGACTGTACCCAGTGCTTGTATAAACAAACAAACAAATCTTAAAAAAAAAAAGGAAACATCGAATAAGCTCATGTCATGTGTGGGCGCCACACCTCGGGAGCCTCCCGGTAAAGATGCGGTGGAGACCATGTCAGGGGCCAAAGGCCAGAGTCTTTGGCTTCTCCTTGCACTGAGCTTGGCGTAGACAGTCACAGCCTGAGGCCTGTGGACCCAGGCCTGCTGGCCGCCAGGGAGAGGACTCTGGCCGCCTGTGGAATGAAACAAGGAACCAGGACAGGCCCTGCCTGGTCCCCGCAGGTCAGGGGAGAGGACACTCTCTTCAGTGTGTTTCCTGTTTTGAAATGTGGAAATAATAGCAGGAAGTGGTCTGATGGATGCCCGGCTCCCAGTGTCCTCACACCCGGCGGTCGACCCTCCGTGCTGGTGGCGAGGAGGCCTGGAGATGCCCTGACCTGCACTGAACAAGCACCCACCCCTCCTGCCAGTCAGAGGGGACGGCCTGGGGCCCAGGGGCCGAGTCACAAGCTCAGATCTTATTCACCCTTGTTTAGAATATTTTGTTGGACCTTTAATTCTGGCTTCAGGTGACCAGGCTTGTCAGAGGTTTTGCTTGTTGAGAGGAAATGACATTGCAGACTCCCTGGGTATTTGCTGTCGGGTCTTCACCAGCTCTTCTCTCTGTCTCCTGACTGCAGCAAACCCACTGCCTTTGTTGCTGTGATGCCTGCTCTTCCCGCCTCTCTCTGCCCGTCTCTCTTCCCTTGCGCAAACTACACCTCCAGTCACTTTCACATCAGTTATTGCCTTTGTCTTAAAGTTACAATGTGTCCATATTTCAGCTGAAATTAATGTAATTTTGTTATAATTATCACTATTTACACTTAATTACTGATGTCAATGTAGGGAGGGCCATTCTAGCGTGCTGTCTGTGCAAATAGTCACATGAAAGTATTACATCCGCGTGTAAAACAGCTCCTTCAGCCTGAGGCAGCCCGGATGCTGCCTGCTCTCTGGCGTGTCAGTAGAAGAGTAGAAATTCAAAATACGTTCTTCTCCTTTAATGCGGCAAATATGTGATACAGCAGGTAGTGTGTTTCTATTAAACAGTAAAGCAGTGTTTTGAGGTAAAAAATCCTATGTTGCTTCCAATTTTTAATGGAAAACTAAAGCCAATTATAATGAACTAAAATTTAAAAATCAGTGTTTCAGGGCTCCAGCTGGATTTCACACACTCAGCAGCCTCTGGGCAGGCGGCTCCCCCAGCGCAAACTGCATTTCCTTGAAATTACTCAAGTATTTGGAAATTAAATACACCCTTCTAATTCACAAGTAAACAAGGACGTCACAAAGAAAACGAAGTATTTTAAACTGAATGATCATGAAAACAGATATACCAAAAATTGTGTAATAGAAACACACAGAGAGAAACTGCATGGCTTTGTATCCTTATTTAGAAGAATAAATAATAGTGCGCAGGGTACTGTCGAGACTCTGGATCCTGTTATCTCCTTCTGAAGAATGATGAATTTGTTCCAGCAGCACTTCAGTTACTGGCAGAACACGATGACCTTGGGAAGGCCTGTATTGACATGTCACTCACAAGGCACTACAAGTTTGCTCTTCCTTTAGCGCAAATTCCTTAGACCTCATGTGGTTCTGAGTCCTCAAGTGTGACCCCTTTGGTATTTCAGTCGAAATTTCCAAGTTTACCACCCTCTTATGTGCTGGAATGGAGCTTCCATTGCTGCTGTGGGCAACAGCTGACCTCTCTGACCAAGAAAGCAGTTATTTCATCCTTCCAGAAAATTCTCCCCTGATCACTTTGGAGATCAGAGTTCATAGGTCAGTCTGTGATTTAAAGTGTGGTTATACGCAGAATTTCCAATGGCCTTTCTCCCATTCTGTGGCTTTTTTCTTTCAAGAGTTCCCCATCATTTGCTAAATGTCCTGGCTGCCCCAGAACTCCGTCCTCTTATTCACGGGTCACTGTAAATTTCTGCTTGAGGGATTACTCGGTGTCAGCAAATGGGAAGCATCTTCAGGGGAAAAGACTCACACGTGACAGCAGGGTACTCCCCCCAATTCAGGGTCAAGTTCCCTCTATATCTGCCCATACTTAGTACTTCCCAGGACGTTCAAAATGGTAGTTTTCAAATTTCTTTTGTGTTTTCTACGTCATTCATTAATGCTATTCAGGAGGGTTGGGAGTCAGAAACTGTCCTGTGACTTCTAACAGTTTCTTTGACCCAACAAGGAGCAAACAACCCTGCACTCACTCGCTCTTCAAACACCCCAAATCCCTGGCTCTCCTGCTTTGCTCCGGAGTAAGATGATTTTTCTAAAATAGACATTTTAAAGTTCACTAACAATAGATATTAAAAGTTCATCCATGTTAAAGTTCAGTAGAACTGTTGACAGCTTTGACCAAGACAACCCTCCCTCCTCACTGCACCTCAGTCCACCCTCCTACTGGCAGCACCCAGACTGTGGGGTTTCCGGAAGCCTGGAATGGGCCTTCCCCATTCTCTGGAGCCAGGGGGTGGTGGCAGCACCGATCTCTCCTCCTGAAATGTTGGGGAAGCGGCTTCCCTGATTCTTATAGTAAGGACAGAAAGCATCATTTTGATATAAACACAGAAAATTCCTTTCAAATTTTTAATAAATGACATGTTTTCTGACTTGCCTTTAGAGTGATTGGATGGGTGTCATTGGTGAAATGCCCATATGACCTATTTTGATATTAATTAACACCTAAGCTTAAACAGTAACACCTGATGAAGGACACCTGTCTTCTTACCCTAATGGAAATGCAGATGATTTTATCTTTACTTTACTAGCGCTGACCTTGTGGATGACCTTGATTCACTTAACCTTGAAGTATTTGCCAATTCCTGATAAAATCATGTGTAAACACTAGAGAATTCCAACTGCCAACACCAGTCAGATTCTTTTTTGAAAATGAAATGAGTGATTTACCTGTCACATAAATAGGAAAGGCCCAAGGGAAGCAAAGGGCATATGAGAGGAAGGTTGAGGGGGAATCAGCCAACCACAGCAGAGTCCACACGGCAGTCATCCCATCACTGCTTTATTCACAGGAGCAGAACAGCAGAAGACAGGAACAAGAGTCAAACATCCTGACAAGGATTTGACAAAGATATGAAAACCGAATACAGTTCACTGGGAAGTGGGTTGCTGATGAAGTCCATGGTTCTGGCTGTCGTGAGAAGGCGGCTTTCTTAAGAATACACCAAGACAAGTCTGTGTGCGGCCTTCAGATTTTTCCGAGGCTTTTAGCAAAAGAAAAGTTTTCTTAAGCCTTTTGTAGGAGTCCACTGCTCTGGGGCCTGAGGGTGGCCTGGCGGTCAGCTGGAGGCCTGAGGTGAGGGGTCTGAGGTGTAGGATCTCTGGTCAGCAGGCGAGGGTGGGCCAGGCCTGAGGCTGTGTCCTGGGACTCCAGTTTATTCACCAGTCGTCACCCCACCTCCACTCCCTCCCACCACCGAAAACATGGCAAGAGAACTTGTGCTTGAAGAAAGCCAAGGAGGAGCGAGCGGGAAGCATGTTCCCCCCTTTTCTCTCATCATTGCACCCTGAAGGTCAGGCTCCCCATGCGCGTCTGGACCCCAGGAAACTGAGCTGCATCAGGGGTGGGTCAGCCTCCACCTGCAGTCCGAGGGCACTGGCAGACCAGAGCCCGAGCAGACCCTATCTGCTCCCTCCTGTTCCCACCCCACCTCTGCTGAGTCCTGTCCACGGGAGCCTCCTCTGACAGACACCCACGCTGCAGGGTGCTCCCCATCAACCAGGCGGTGCTCCAGGATGTTCAAGTCATTCATCTGCTCCCCTTGCGGGCCCTCTCCTCTCTGCCTCCCTCCATACTCGCCCCCAGATATCTCCCTGGGGGACTCAAACGGCAGACACTCATCCACCCAAGCCTTCTCCCACCAGCAAGGGGGAAGGGAAGGGGCTGAGGCAGGGCTTAAAAGGTCTTTATTTTCTAAGGCCGGGAGGCAGGAGGCCTGAGGAGTGACAGGTGTCAGGCCTGAGTGTGTGGG